CGAGAAAGAGGAACAGGAGGACTTGTGGCACCTTAGAGACTAACAAATTTATTAGAGCATAAGCTTTCGTGGACTACAGCCCACTTCTTCGGATGCATATAGAATGGAACATATATTGAGGAGATATATATACACACACATACAGAGAGCATAAACAGGTGGGAGTTGTCTTACCACCTCTGAGAGGCCAATTAATTAAGAGAAAAAAAACTTTTGAAGTGATAATCAAGCTAGCCCAGTACAGACAGACAGTTAGATAACAAGTGTGAGAATACTTACAAGGGGAGATAGATTCAATGTTTGTAATGGCTCAAAGAGGAACAGGAGGACTTGTGGCACCTTAGAGACTAACAAATTTATTAGAGCATAAGCTTTCGTGGACTACAGCCCACTTCTTCGGATGCATATAGAACGGAACATATTGAGGAGATATATATACACACACATACAGAGAGCATAAACAGGTGGGAGTTGTCTTACCACCTCTGAGAGGCCAATTAATTAAGAGAAAAAAAACTTTTGAAGTGATAATCAAGCTAGCCCAGTACAGACAGACAGTTAGATAACAAGTGTGAGAATACTTACAAGGGGAGATAGATTCAAATGGCTCTATCTCCCCTTGTAAGTATTCTCACACTTGTTATCTAACTGTCTGTCTGTACTGGGCTAGCTTGATTATCACTTCAAAAGTTTTTTTTCTCTTAATTAATTGGCCTCTCAGAGGTGGTAAGACAACTCCCACCTGTTTATGCTCTCTGTATGTGTGTGTATATATATCTCCTCAATATATGTTCCATTCTATATGCATCCGAAGAAGTGGGCTGTAGTCCACGAAAGCTTATGCTCTAATAAATTTGTTAGTCTCTAAGGTGCCACAAGTCCTCCTGTTCTTCTTTTTGCGGATACAGACTAACACGGCTGCTACTCTGTAAACATACAGTTTTTTAGTTCATTAGACAAGTCTAAGACTTCCAAGCCAGCAATTCAACCAGACTGCCAAAGTAATTTTTCTTTTTCCTTTCAGGAAAACTTCTAGAATTTGCATCTTGTGAGTTTCTTTGGCAATTGGCACCCAGGCAGTGTAACATTCTTTGGTTTATGCTCATTAAACTTCTGGGGAATATTAAATTTTGTTTTAATATACCTCTTTGGGTGAAATGTTTACAGTGGAGATAGTCTGTGGAATGCCTTTTAAACTGATCTTCTGTATTTTCTCCTCAGTTCGGCCCAAAGAGAGCATAATACATGACCCTTATAGTGTAGAGACTCTCTTCTTTGAAGTGCTTACAAAGCTGGTGGAGATGTCAGCTCTGCCGATGAAATCAGAGAGGGAAGTTGTACGGTGAGTGGCAGTGCCAACCCTTTCTTAATAAATGGTACACAAATATAGAGTTAGTATTAACTTAAAACATTCTGATTATCCTGTGCTATGCACTGTCATCTATTTTCTTGTACCAGTGTCAGGATTACTCAATTGGTAACATAGTACAAGCTCACTTCTGCTCCAGGTCTTGGGTTTCAAACCAAGAGATGTGCTCACATTGAAGTGCAGTACTGAGGTTATACTGTTAAAGTAGCTGTTTAGATTAGAGTTCATCCTAGATCCATTTTGTGTTTCTCTAGTGATTCTGCAAGGATTGCTTTAGGCTTTTGGCTACAGTGTTGCATTGGGAGCTCGTGTTCAGCTGATTATCCATTGTGACAAAGTTCCTCCTCTATCTTGGTGGGTCCTGCGCTTATTGGTGGATTTTCTTGCCTCTGAGATTCACCATGTGGGTTGGGAAACAGCCCAGAGACCTTCGCCTCTGGAAGAACCCACAGTCCAGTTCAATTGGGAGGTTTGGGGGGAACCCGGGCCCAACCTCTACTCCAGGTTCCAGCCCAGGGCCCTGTGGACTGCAGCTGTCTATAGTGCCTCCTGTAACAGCTGCATGACAGCTACAACTCCCTGGGCTACTTCCCCATGGCCTCCTCCAAATATCTTCCTTATTCTCACCACAGGACCTTCCTCCTGGTGTCTGATAACGCTTGTGCTCCTCAGTCCTCCAGCAGCACACTCTCAGCTTCTTGCTCCCAGCTCCTCACACACTCGCCACCACAAACGGAAGTGAGCTCCTTTTAAAACCCAGGTGCCCTGATTAGCCTGCCTTACTTGATTGTAGAAGCTTCTTCTTAATTGGCTCCAGGTGTCCTAATTAGCCTGCCTGCCTTAACTGGTTCTAGCAGGTTCCTGATTACTCTAGTGCAGCCCCTGCTTTGGTCACTCAGGGAACAGAAAACTACTCATCCAGCGACCAGTATATTTGCCCTCTACCAGACTCCTGTACTCCACTGGTCTGGGTCTGTCACACCATCATAACCCTTAAGTCTTTTTCATAGTCTCCCATCCTGTAAGTGTGGTCTATATTCTTTGTTCCTACATGTATAACTTTACATTTGGAACAGAGGGTCCTGTGGCACCTTTAAGACTAACAGAAGTATTGGGAGCATAAGCTTTCGTGGGTAAGAACCTCACTTCTTCATATGCAAGAAGTGAGGTTCTTACCCACGAAAGCTTATGCTCCCAATACTTCTGTTAGTCTTAAAGGTGCCACAGGACCCTCTGTTGCTTTTTACAGATTCAGACTAACACGGCTACCCCTCTGATACTTTACATTTGGCTGTATTAAAGTGCATATTGTTTGTTTGTGTCCAACTTACCAAGTGATCTGTCCTCTTTATTATTTACCACTCCCCCAATCTTTGTGTCATTTTGTTTTCTTTCAGATCATTGATAAAAATATTAAGTAGCATAGGGCCATTAACTGGTTGCTGTGGGACTCAATTCTCCAGGGTGGCGTTCAACTACCATAACCACGTAAATGTACTCTCTCTTCCTGCAGTCCCCTACCCCATTCTCTGCACACCTTCCAACTTCTGAAATAAATGAGGTGGGGATTATAAGATTGTGGGAATTTATTCATCCTCCAAAAGGTTGGAAAAATTGGTATGTGATTGTGTAAATAAAGACTATATCATTATGCATATGCACAAGGGGTTGCACAGGCAACCTTAATTTTGGCATTTACTACCTTTTTGAGTTCTCGACTTTGATAATCTTTTAAAGTAAGATGTGATAATTTTTAAAGTGGCTTTTTGCATGTAATCATCCAGGTTTTTTAAAAAAGCAAACTGAAAAATCAGAAATCCCATCATGTGGCATCATAATGACACCCACATGGGTCACCAGCCGGGTTGGAACTTTTAGATACACTGCACAGACCCCTGCCATGTGAATTAACAGAGTAGCTGATGATAGTAGTAGGTTGTTATCCTCTGCGTGGCGGATAGATGGGAATGGGACACCTAGGCAGTGGATTTCACAGGTATTTGCTGATAGTAGAGGAATGGTGAAACTCAAGGATCTTGGGTTCTGTTCCAGCCTCTGGAGACAAGTGTGCTTTGTTGATCATAGACTCTTCTACCTTCAAGCTTGACCTCTTCTGCCCCGCTTCCTCCAACCTTCTCTGTCCCATTCCTGTCTCTACCCTGCCATTGGCTCCCCATTCAAGTCCCAGGCTCCCCCCCACTCTGTCTCCTTGTCCAGCCATTCTTAGCCTACCTTCACCCCAACCCCACTCCCTGGCTCCCAGATCTAGTCTCCTTGCCCAGCCAGTCCCAATCCCTGCCAGCCTCTAATCCCATGTTCTGCCCTCAGACTCCTTGTCCTAATCTACTCCCCTTATGCTCTCCTGCAATGCCCTCGGTTGGTTCAGCTATTGTTCCCTCTGCATTACAATCAGGTGGCTACTTTTTTCCCTGCTGCCAGGGTGCCAGAAAAGCTCCTTGCATTCAGTTCCTATGTCTGGCCCCATCCCAGCCTGGAGGAACCAATACAGGGAAGTCTGGCTTCATCTCTATAACCAAGGGCTGGGGAGCATGATCTGTTACTCTATGGGGATGGCACATGTGCAGTCCCGGCACATGTTGAAGGTGAGAGGGGATGGTACATTTGCAGTCTGGTCAGCCCTGAGAACTGTCAGAGGCTCAAGGATGCTTGCTCAGTGAGGATGGAATCTGGTCATTTTAGCTGTTAAGCTCTAGCAAGTCTTGCTAGAGCTTAACAGCTAGCATGGGGGAACTGTGATTTTTTTTTTCCCCCAAAGGGTTATAACTTCATGAAAGTTGGACTGAATTTCATGGGGATGGTGAATAGCACATGCCTGAAACAAAAGCCACCCCCTGCCAAACTTCATGTCCCTGCTCCAAAGTATGGAAGCAGTAGAGCTTTCCAAAGAACAGGTCACCAGATTTTTTTGTAATGTTCAGAAATAATGTATTTTTCCGTAACCTTGTTCTCTGAAACAGATGAATTGTTTTGGCTGAAAATTTCCCCAGAGTCAGCCTGAGTGAGACACTTAACATGGAAATTGTCAGCCTGATCAGTTGAAGTTTGGTAAAGTTATAAGCAACTGAAAACAGGGTCTTACAGTGGGAAGTGTTTGGCAACCTTAATAATAGGTGGGGCTGGTAGCACTCCTATTACACTGCTTTGCAGTTGGAGTACCATAGGCTCAGACTCAGGGACTGGAGCACCCACGGGGAAAAAATGGTGGGTGCTGAGCACCCACCAGCAGCCCCTCTATCAGCTTCCCTCCACCCCCCAGTGCCTCCTGCCCGCGGGTGGGCCCCACGGATCAGCGCCTTCCCCTCCCTCCCAGTGCCTCTCACCCACCTGGACACCTGTTTCACAGTGTGTAGGAGGCTGGAAGGGAGGGGGGAGGAGTGAGTTCCCAGCAAGCTCTGGAGAGGGGGTGGAACTGGGTGGGAAGTGAAAGGGGGGTGAAACGGGTGGGAAGAGGCAGGGCAGGCTGGGGCTTTGGGGGAAGGGGTGCAGTGGGGGTGGGGCCTGGGGCAGAGCTGGAGGTTGAGCAATCCCCAGCACTTTGGAAAGCCCACACTGGTGTGGAGTATAATAGATTTTCCCCAAATGAGTTAAATAGTGTCAGTGGCAGCCATTTTCTAATGGCAGTGAAAACTGCCAATACCTTTTACATGTATTTTTCTTTGGTCCAGGTGTGAAATGACTGATTACTGCATCTAGAAATAGTTGCTGACCCTTATATAGTATCACCACTTGGAGGGGTAGGGCTTTGTGAGGCAGGCTGTGTTCCCTGAGGCAGAACAGAAATGTAACAACTGAGTAGGCAGGCTGCTAATGTTCCCATTGTCAGTTAATTGTTCCCATTCTTAGTCAATTGCCCCAGAAGCCTAAAATGCAAAAAAGCTCTAAGGCTCCTTTACATTGCCAGAGTGGTTTAAATGACAGTAAGGAAATTCCAGCTAGGAAGATCTATGTGCTTTCTCGCTTTATTCTGTGCCAGAGTGTCACAATGGGGTTAGATTACAGCTCAGGATCTATTTTATTTTCCCATTAAAAAAATGCAGGACAATGATTAGCAAAACTATATGACTTACATTCTACTTTACTTTTATTTTAGTATTTGTTGTTCTGTAATTTAATTTAAATGGAAATCCAGGATTATAACTGGAATGCAGGGTATTGGTTATCAAGTATTTGTAACTAAACTTTCATGTGTTTAGGAAATGATGAACAGTTGTGATTTTTGTTTCCTGTATGATAGATTAAATAAATTACCAAAATAAGTGAAACTGGTGTGATTATATTGCATTGTTTTGACAAAATATGCAAAATTTTGCAGAATTTTTAATTTTTTGGTGGAGAATTCCCCCAGCAGTATGAAAAGACTGTAGTTAAAGACCAGTAAGCCTGGGAGTTAGAATGTCTCGATTCTCTTCTTGGTGGTGAGAGATTTCTTTTGGTGGTGTTTTGGGGAGCTTTTTGGCAAGTCTCACTGAGCACAACATTTTCAAGTATGGGTGCCTAATTTTGCTGTCCACGTCTATATTTAAGCCCCTAAATAAGGGGATGTATTTTCAGAGCATTTGGGTCTCATTGACTTCAGTGCCTAAAAAGGTATTTGGAGGCGTAACTTGAGGGACCCATGTTTATTTCACTTTAATGACAAAACTCAAACAATGAGGAATCTAGACTATTTCAGAAAATGAATTAAAAGTAATTTACATTTTTTTCTAAGTTGCTCTGAAAGTGATTGTTTTACAATCATATTTTCATATATTTTACAAAAGTTTCTCTTCCTTGTTATTGTGTGAATGACCGACATAAACAGGCTGACTGACTGACTAATTGTACAAGTGAAACTGTGAATTTTGCCTTGAGCTTGTACACTGCTTAGCAGGATGGAATCCTAATCCTAACACCAGCATCTTGGCACTATCAGTACAAATACAGCTAGAAAGATTCTGTGTAGAGGCAACACAGCATATATCGTTCTAGTGGAGACCTTTCCGTTGTTCATCAGGATGGCCTGGACCTCATGGGAACATGATTTCTCATGAGTTTTTAACCACAAATCATTCATACAGTCAGGTGGAGAGACTCGAGGTTCAGATACCCTGTGGCTCTGCAGCTCTTTTCTCTCTCACTTGCTTCTCTGAGGCCAGTCTCTAGCACAGTGACTTGCTCTTCCAAGTCTGCAACTTCCTACTTTACTACAAGAAGTTTGGTCATCAGATCATCTCTCATGGCCTTAAACTCAGAGATCATCTCCAGAACATCTGTTTTGGTTGCCATTTGAGTTTTGTCAGCCCTGGCATATCTGTCTGATTTGGCTGCAAAATCTTCATGTGGCGTCTGAGAGGTCTCTCCATGCTGTGAGCCAGAAACACTATTTTCAGTGAGGTATCTTTTTAATTTTTTTTATTTTCTTTGCAAATCCATCCTTGCAACTCTGTGCTTTTCTTTTGTGGAATTTAGTAGGTTTTGGGCATCAGTGGAGGCAGATTCCTTTGCTATCCCCTCAAAGCTCAGGCTACAGGCAGCCATGTTATTCAGGCCTTCTGCTGATCTCAACACAGATATTTTTAATATAATCTTTCTGTTGTTTTCATACAAAACACACCAATAGCCAAAGGAGCCTAAGTGACTTTTGGAAATTAGACCTACGAGCCCAAGTCATTTTGGCACTTTTGAAAAAATTGCCCTTGGTCCATGGTGTGTTCATAATTTCATCCTCAGGGTATAGTAACTGAGTTTTATTTTCCTAGTTATTATGAGATAAAGCAAAGAAACTTCTGGAGGAGCTTTCAGCGGAAGAGTCCCACTGACTACCCGAAGACCTCACCGAATAGAAAATGCAATGGTCTTACTTATTTTTGCCAGGCTTCTCGGCTAATAGGGCTCCCCACCAGCCAACTGTTGACATCTCTACACAGCCTGAGTGATACTGCCAGCTGTAAGAACTATTATATTCTCTTTGTGCATAATCACTTTAATTTAACTCTCCTTAGCTGACCATGTTTTGATATGGAAAATTAGAACACCTTTCTTTTAGGGGCACATATTGTCATTGGTGCACGGTGTGGAAAAAGTAGGTCAGATTGAGAATGAGGCTTGCTAATGGGAGGAAGGAGTATGTAAGGTTTGGAAGTTGGAGTACTTGTCAGTGCTGGCGGCAAGGGAAAGGGGATTTGGAAGTGCTTGACATTGCAGGAGGATTTGCAGACATGCCATCTCTCACGAATTTATCATGAGAGATGTGATTTCTAAGTAAAATTAAGCCTCACTCATGATCTCACAATAGAACTCTCAAATCTCAGGATTTTGTGCAGTGGAGCTCTGGCTGTCAGCCCCAGGTGACAGGGCTCTGGCTGTCAGCCTGGGACGTGGCCTGGGGAGGGTGAAGAACCCTAAGAGGAGCAGAGGTGAGGCTGGGAGGGCTGAACTATGGCTTGGGGGCTGCAGGGGGGCTGAAGTGAGTATGGTGGGAGCTGATGGGGGGGCTGTATTGATGGTGATGGTGGGTTCTAAGCAGATGGAGTGACTGCCGAGAGGGTGAGCTGTGGGCAGTGGGGTTTGATGGGGTTGTGGGGGCTGAACTGATGGGGTAGTGATGATGGGGGCTGAATTGAGGGAGGTTGGGTGGGGAACATAACTGATGGCGGACTGGGGGACAGAATTAATTGCTGGGTAGGAGACAGGCAGATGTGGGGGTGAGAGCACCTGCAGCAGGGGCCAAAATCATGTTATCCAGTACATGTGGGAGAGCAGGCAACACTAATTGTCACATGCACACACCCTGGGGATGGACGGGGTGTGGTTCAAAAATCAAGAGACTGGCCTAAAAAACACAATATAATGTTGTTGTTTTTCTTTAAAGTCATGATTTTTCGGGCCAATCTCATGGTTTTGGGGGGTCTGACTCATGATTTTTGATCTCTTGAAGTTGGCGATACTGGATTTGGCAAATGGAAAAGTGAGGTCAAATTTAGAGTGCTTATCACCTTGAGGGTGCCTGCTTGTGACTTTTCCTCCTGTTCCCTGACTCCCCAGTGGTCTTCCAGTTCCCTCCTCCTCCACCCCTGGGCTTTCAGAGATTTCCTTCCCCTTCTTTTTTCTCCTAACATTTTTCCTAAGTCGGTTTCCTTTGATTTATATTCATTTTATTAAAAAACAGGAGTACTTGTGGGACCTTAGAGACTATTGTACAGTTTTCTGACTGCCTGGGTGGCAGGGAGGGAAGTGGATATGCTTTAAATCTAAAACTATTATTATTACCATATTATCTTAAGTATGAACTTGGGCCTAGTTGTGTCTCGGCTGGGCACTTATCAGTTAAATCATTTGGTGCTTTGTATGTAGTACAGACTCTGGCAGATTGTCTGGCACCAAGATTCTGAGGTTCCCAAATTCCACTGCATGGCAGAGTATAGAAAAGTGTAATAGAGAAAGGGTTGGGTGCAATGCTTCTTACTGTGGATGTGTGACAAGAAAAGGAGAAAGGGATGGATTTGTGTTGTTTAAACTGTAGCCCTTGCTTGTCTGAAGAGAAGAGCAATGATTGTGATGGAACTCAACTGGAACAAAGGAGCTCTGATACTGCAAACCATGTTATAGAGAACCTGGTGATGGGTGGGGTGCTCTTATTGGAGGCCAGAAATAGGTTTGCAGACTGTCCTGACCCCTCCAATCCCATTGTCACAATAATGTCATAAAAATGTAGGACTGGAAGGCACATCTAGTCCAGTTTCCTGCACTGAGGCAGAACTAAGTATTATCTAGACCATCCCAGTCAGATGTTGGACTAACCTGCTCTTAAAAACCTCCAATGACAGGAATTCCACAACCTAGGTAATTTGTTCCAGGTTTTAACTACACTTAGAGGTAAGAAGTTTTTCTTAATTTCTAACCTAAATTTCCCTTTCTGTGGATGGTTATGTTCATAACCATCTCACAATAGGACACATGCAGCCATATATTACACGTGTATTTCAGATTTCCAGTCAAACCTTTGTGTCTTGCTAATTCCTTTCGTATTTTTTCCCTTTTGCTAGTGTCTGATAGCCCTTATGCCACAATACCACGCTCGTTACGAACCTGCCAGGACAGGAGAGTGAGATTGAAGCCTCTGAGACACAGACCTATGTTGGGGGAAAAGAGCAATAAGGAGTCCAACCCTAATTCTGAGGACAGACAGGTGAGAATAGGGACTTCTCTCTGGGAAAACTACTGTAAAACTTCACAGCTGTCTTGATGGTAAAACTAGGCTGGTCAAAGCACTGAAGAATATACTGTCTGTAGGGTACAATCCTTCAGCCTCAATGAGTGTAAGGCCCCCTCCCCCATACAGAAAAGAGTTAAAATCTACGATATCATGCCATGAATTTTATGTCTCGTGGGAAGTGGATGAGTTGAGTTTTATTTACGTATTTGGTTCTACAGAATTTAGGGGTAATTTCAGAGTACTACAATAGAATAAAGATAATCCCACTTATAAGGAGAAAATATATTTATTTGGACTCTAACCAGCTATCCTTCAAAGACTGGAGTTCAGTTAGTATTCTGAATATTGGAGAGGCAGTGGGAAAAGAGGGGGGATATATGGAATGTCCCTACATGTGAGTGGTCATTCTGCCCTAAAGAATCTCAGTCAAATCAAGAAAGGAAACTGAAACAAGAAGTGTTTTCTTTAGGGCATACAATAAATATAGTCCTAAAGTTCCCCCTTTCCAGGGTCAAAGAAACAATGGAGTTCCCCGATTCCTTTTGTCTGAGGATTAAGCAAAACTCCTTGATTCCCTCTTTCTTCTGGGTCAAAGCAAACAAATAAAATCACCTAAACTCTTTCCCACATCTGCATTCCTCCTTTATTCAGGACAGAAACAAAATTCCCAAGTTTCCCTTTTGGGGAGGGAGTGAGGCGGGGAGGGTTAAACAAACAAACTCACAGCTATTTGGCTCCAGCTACGGACTGCTTCTTTCTCCCTGTACATGTTAAGTGAACACACAGTTCACCATAGTGTTTACATAAATAATTAATTATAGACACTTTGAATTAGCAAATACCTGTCCAAGTGCTTTAGGTTTATCCTGGACAATCCCAAATGTGTAAACAGAGGATAGATGGCACTGAAAACAAGGAGGTGGGGGAGTGAAGCAGCGAAGGAGCTGGAGATTTGATTTTTGTGCACATCAGCCTAACGTGTCATGCATAGTGGGCTGGCAAAGTTCCCATTCCCATACAAACTCTGAATGAGAAATAAGTAAAAATCCAGGACCCCATTCCACAATATGCACCCCTCCATCCTTGCTTCATCCCATCACCGCCTCTTTGTCTGTTTTAGTGTCCCATTTATCTTGATGGCAAAGAAAGGCTAATGATCTAATATATATCAGTATGAGATTAGAATCTGAAGTAACGAAATTGATGTAAAGAGTTATTCTTTTTACACCAATGTGAGAATAGTCACGCCCTATAATTGTAAGCAAAAGGGAGGGAAATCCTCCTTTCTGAAACTGACCTCTGACTCTTTTTTTTCCAGAGACCTGGAACAGCAAATCAGTGAGCAGAACTGCATGTGCAAGCTCACCCAGTTCTGAATGTATGAATTCTTTCTTCATTTTCGATAATGAATACTCTGAAACTCTAGCCAAAAACTATCCAAGCTCAATACTATACAACAAGAAAGGCATATGTAACAAATGTAATTCTGATTCATCCACTACTTTGTGATTCAGTATATTTCTATAACACTTACTCCTGCAGCTGGGCAGTGGGGCGGTAGGGTGTGTGTGTGTGTGTGTCTGGGCTGTGGGGAAGTGGGGGGCGGCGCAGCTGGCCCCTTGGGGGAAGGGTGCAAGTGTCTGGGCCTTGGGGGCACTCTGCGGGCTGGGCTCTGGGGGAAAGTGTGCAAGTGTCTGGGCTGGCGAGGGGTGCGCAGCTGGGCTGCGAGGGTTGGGGGCAAGTGTCTGGATTGGGGACACCCTGCAGCTGGGCTCTTGGGGGTAGGGTGTAGTATCTGGCTCCCTGGCTGGGCTCTGCGGGGGTGGGTGGAGGTAGCAGAGATACAGGCACTGGATTGTCATATGGGTTTCTTTAACTCTCTTCTGCTGGGTGAATTTTTTTTGTCTGTATTGTTACAGACATAGTTGCTGACAGGTATGTTGAAATAAATGACCAAAATGATTGAAACTGGTATGATTATATAGTGTTATTTTGAGAAATAAAATATGCAGAATTTTTAATTTTTTGGTGCAGAATTCCCCCAGAAGTGAACACCAGTAATACTTGACCAGGAATTTCTAATACTAATATATTGCCAAATAATATGACAAATTACCATCCTGTTTCCCATATTACCAGCACCCTTCATCAGGGGCGGCTCTATGTATTTCGCTGCCCCAAGCACAGCAGTGAGGCAGCCTTCGGCGGCATGCCTGTGGGAGGTCCACTGGTAACACGGATTCGGCAGCATGCCTGCGGGAGGTCCACCGGTCCCACGCCTTCGGCGTACCCGCTGCCGAATTGCCGCCGAAGCCACGGGACCGGCGGACCTCCCGCAGGCATGCTGCCAAAGGCAGCTTGACTGCCGCCCTCATACTGACTGTCAGGCTGCCCCCCTGCGGCTTGCCGCCCCAGGCACGCGCTTGGAGCGCTGGTGCCTGGAGCCACCTCTGCCCTTCATTGTCCAAGTAGAACATATTTAAACAAGTGTCCAGGAGTGCAATATGAAAATGAAATATTTGCTACATGAGGTTTCATCAGTAAATAGGACTACAAAAATCTTTTCAAGATGAACTGCAATTATCTTGGGTTATGCAAGAGATTGATACTTCAGGCTTGAGGAATCTTTGAGTTCTAGTTTGAAGAGATTGGTATGTTGATATGACAGAAATTACTTCTAAAGAGCACAATATTTAGAAGATGACTGACAACATTGATGAATGTAATATATGAGATAGGGTTACCATATTCAAACATTTAAAAAAGAGGACACTCCACGGGGACCCAGTCCTGCCCCCGGCCCCACCCCAACTCCGCCCCTTCCCCGCCCCCATTCCAACCCCTTCCCCAAAGTCCCTGCCCCAACTCTGCCCCCTCCTCTGAGCACCCCGCATTCCCCCTCCTCCCTCCTGCTCTGATCTTGGTTGGGGGTGGCTAAGTGCTTCCCTGCTCGCTCTGCACCCCCCCTGCCCCTGCAGCTTCTGGGCCCCCTACTCCCCACTGGCCCTGCAGCCCCTGCACCCCCA